ATTTCAACACTTCTTTAAAAAAAAAAAAGTAGGATTATATAAATGAATGTAAATCATCATGATAGCTTACACGAATCTACATTACTTGTTACCTCTTTTCTCTTCTCTATCCTATTGGATCTTATTTGACGCTTATGATGATTTTTGTGACATGAATAATTTTATAAATTAACAAATTTTGAGGAGACAGAAAAGAAACATGTGATATTTGTTTCGTTTACCCATCAAGTGATATGAAATTAAGCTTAAGAGGTTGTTTGGGAGACTGATAAAATAAAATATAATCAAAAATCAAAAAATCCTTAAAAAAATTTTAAAAAATCATATAAAAAAGTTAAAGATTCATTTATTTCTTTTTGTACTTCTTTTTTTAAAAATTCAAAAAATTATTCTTAAACACTTTATTTTTTTCACCTCATAATTTAACAAAATTACTAAAAAACCATTTCCTTAACAAACCCTAAGTATAAATGCATATATTTATTTTTTTCTACTCCGATAAGAGCGTCTCAAACTTTTACTTAGATTTTCCATAAAATTTAAATTTTTTAAAATACGCACACTTTTGTTGCTCTAACCATGACATCAAACCCATATCAAATGAAAGGAAAATAAAAAATTTCATCAAATTGAGGGAAGCTTCATCGTTTATCAAATTTTTACAGATAGCCGTTACTTTTGCAGAGACTTCACCATACACCGGATGACCGATTGATTGTCCTCCCGATCAACTGATTGTTTGATGAAAATTTACATAAGTCAGACGACCTCTTGGTCAACCAGTTGTTTGATAAAAATTAAAAAATAAGCATTGGAACACATAGTATCATATGAAACTTTTAAGTAGACTCCCCATTTTGACAGCCCCTAAGACTTGGGCGCCTCAATCCAAACACTCGATGATGAAAGTTAAATTATGGTAGACTCTGCGAATCACTCAATTATTCATATTGTAAATAATTCAAATTATTCAAATTATGGAAATTAGGATACACTCCGCGAATCACTCCTCCCTCCATACTGTAAATAATTCAAATTATGAAAAATATTCGAATTATTAGGATAATTATTCAAATTATGGAAATTGTTCAAATTATTCAAATTATTCATATTGTAAATTATTCAAATTATTGAAATATTATTCAAATTATTCATATTGTAAATAATTCAAATTATGGAAATTATGGAAATAAGCATATAAGGATATATTGCCTTTTGGAAATTAGGAAGGAAGGAAGGAATGAAACTTCCATAGAAGAGAGGGAAAGCGTGTTCGAAGAAAATAAGGAATGTAAGAAACATACTATTTACTGCTGATGAGAGAGAGGGAGAGAGTATATTGATGTTCAAATGTGTCTCTCGCACTCAGCCATCACTGTTTGAAAAAAAAATCTCCCTTACCTTCATTGATCCCTTGTCCCCTTTGTCTATCCATATATATTAATCACCTTTAGTTCAGCCATTCCACATAGTCTCTCTCTCTCTCTCTCTCTCTCTCTCTCACGACAGTTTTTGCAGCCATTCACACAGTCTCTCCATCTCTCTCTCTCACGACAGTTTTCGTAGCCATTCACACACACTCTCTCTCTCTCTCTCTCTCTCTCTCTCTCTCTGTGTGTCTCAAAATGACAGAGTCACAGAATAAGGTTTTTTCCGCCTTTTGGTACTCCAACATCCTCCGCCGCCTCTTCTGTACCGGCAGTAGAAAGGAATATCAGAAAGAAAAAAGCTATAGTTATGATTTTTGATCTTCATCATTTTGATCTGCACAGTTTGAGTCCTCATCAACCAGTGTCTGCGTCTTTGGCGTTCACAACTGAAGCCATGAAGTTGCTGGAGGAAGAGCAGTTACTTCAGTTGAATAAGTAAATTCAGTAATTTTCTCTATATTTCTCTCTCCCCCTTATTCTTCTTCTCTCTCTAATCTTTGTCTCATTGAATTTCTGCAGGAAAGAAAAGGACCCGTTGCAACCGAAGCAACCCATGGCGGCGTTTTTCATGTTCAGAAATGAGCGAAGAGTAGAGAGCAAGAGTGGCTGGGAGGTAATTGAAAAATGGAATAACATGACAAAGAAACAAAAGAAGCCTTATGAAAAGGTTCAATTGACTATGTCTTTCTTTATCAATCTCTCTCTCTCTCTTGTTGTCTCTGCAACATCAATTTCATATTTTGGGAACTTCCAGATTGCAAAACAAAACATGGAAAAGTATTTGGATGAAATGGAATTACCATATAAAATTGTCTATATTTTTTTTTATCGTCATATGACATTGTCTATATGATAATTGATCTCGACAAATAAGAAAAATCACAACACACAGTCATCATTTGTCTTTTAATAATCTAATAATGGTATAAATCTCCACATTTCAGTCATACAATATTTTACTACATGATTAATTTAGAATATCACATAAATAATATTAAATAATGTTTTGAAATTACAAAATAATTACCCTATGATCAGGGTTTTTCTACCAAACTAGATGTTATGATTGAAATTTCAACACTTCTACCATATTTATATACCACAATGGGTTGATCATCTCATTTGTGACAATTGTATTGGTTGAATTAGTAATGTAAATATGGTTATTTTATCATTGTAAAAATAACTTTTAGTCTATTACCAATGTAATGATATCACATCACATGATTAAAATGTGATATGGTTATTTTATGATTGAAATTTCAACACTTCTTTAAAAAAAAAAAAGAAAAAAAGTAGGATTATATAAATGAATGTAAATCATCATAATAGTTTACACAAATCTACATTACTTGTTACCTCTTTTCTCTTCTCTATCCTATTTTATCTTATTTGATTCTTATGATGATTTTTGTGACATGAATAATTTTATAAATTAACAAAATTTAAAGATACAAAAAAGAAACATGTGATATTTGTTTCGCTTACCCATCAAGTGAGATGAAATTAAGCTTAAGAGGTTGTTTGGGAGACTGATGAAATAAAATATAATCAAAAATCAAAAAATCATTAAAAAAGTTTTAAAAAGTCATATTATTCAAATTATTCATATTGTAAATTATTCAAATATTATTCAAATTATTCATATTGTAAATTATTCAAATATTATTCAAATTATTCATATTGTAAATTATTCAAATATTATTCAAATTATTCATATTGTAAATTATTCAAATATTATTCAAATTATTCATATTGTAAATTATTCAAATATTATTCAAATTATTCATATTGTAAATTATTCAAATATTATTCAAATTATTCATATTGTAAATTATTCAAATATTATTCAAATTATTCATATTGTAAATTATTCAAATATTATTCAAATTATTCATATTGTAAATTATTCAAATATTATTCAAATTATTCATATTGTAAATTATTCAAATATTATTCAAATTATTCATATTGTAAATTATTCAAATATTATTCAAATTATTCATATTGTAAATTATTCAAATATTATTCAAATTATTCATATTGTAAATTATTCAAATATTATTCAAATTATTCATATTGTAAATTATTCAAATATTATTCAAATTATTCATATTGTAAATTATTCAAATATTATTCAAATTATTCATATTGTAAATTATTCAAATATTATTCAAATTATTCATATTGTAAATTATTCAAATATTATTCAAATTATTCATATTGTAAATTATTCAAATATTATTCAAATTATTCATATTGTAAATTATTCAAATATTATTCAAATTATTCATATTGTAAATTATTCAAATATTATTCAAATTATTCATATTGTAAATTATTCAAATATTATTCAAATTATTCATATTGTAAATTATTCAAATATTATTCAAATTATTCATATTGTAAATTATTCAAATATTATTCAAATTATTCATATTGTAAATAATTCAAATTATGGAAATTATGGAAATAAGCATATAAGGATATATTGCCTTTTGGAAATTAGGAAGGAAGGAAGGAATGAAACTTCCATAGAAGAGAGGGAAAGCGTGTTCGAAGAAAATAAGGAATGTAAGAAACATACTATTTACTACTGATGAGGGAGAGGGAGAGATTATACTGATTTTCAAATGTGTCTCTCGCACTCTGCCATCACTGTTTGAAAAAAAAATCTCCCTTACGTTCGTTGGTCCCTTGTCCCCTCGGTCTATCCATATATATTAATCACTTTTAGTTCAGCCATTGCACATAGTCTCTCTCTCTCTCTCTCTCACGACAGTTTTTGCAGCCATTCACACAGTCTCTCTATCTCTCTCTCTCTCACGACAGTTTTCGCAGCCATTCACACAGTCTCTCTCACTCTCTCTCTCTCTCCCTCTCTGTGCCTCATAATGACAGAGTCACAGAATAAGGTTTTTTCCGCGTTTTGTTACTCCGACATCCTCCGCCGCCTCTTCTGCACCGACAGTAGAAAGGAAGATCAGAAGGGAAAAAGTTACAGTTATGATTTTTGATCTTCATCATTTTGATCTTCACAGTTTGAGTCCTCATCAACCAATGTCTGCGTCTTTGGCGTTCACAATTGAAGCCAGGAAGTTGTTGGAGGAAAAGCAGTTTCTTCAGTTGAATAAGTAAATTCAGTAATTTTCTCTATATTTCTCTCTCCCCTCTTCTTCTTCTTCTCTCTCTAATCTTTGTCTCATTGAATTTCTATAGGAAAGAAAAGGACCCGTCGAAACCGAAGCAACCCATGTCTCCGTTTTTCATGTTCAGAAATGAGCGAAGAGTAGAGAGCAAGAGTGGCTGGGAGGTAGTTGAAAAATGGAATAACATGATAGAGAAACAAAAGAAGCCTTATGAAAAGGTTCAATTAACTATGTCTTTCTCTATCAATCTCTCTCTCTCTCTTGTTGTCTCTGCAACATCAATTTCATATTTTGGGAACTTGCAGATTGCAAAACAAAACATGGAAAAGTATTTGGAAGAAATGAAATTACCATATAAAATTGTCTATATTTTTTTTTATCGTCATATGACATTGTCTATATGATAATTAACCTCGACATATAAGAAAAATCACAACACAGTCGTCATTTGTCTTTTAATTATCTAATAATGGTATAAATCTCCACATTTCAGTCATACAGTATTTTACTACATGATTAATTTAGAATATCACCTAAATAATATTAAATAATGTTTTGAAATTACTAAATAATTACCCTATGATCATGGTTTTTCTACCAAACTATATGTTAGGATTGAAATTTCAGCACTTCTTTAAAAAATAAAAGGAAAAAGTAGCATTATATAAATGAATGTAAATCATCATGATAGTTTACACGAATCTACATTTCTTGTTACGTCTTTTCTCTTCTCTATCCTATTGGATCTTATTTGATTCTTATGATGATTTTTGTGACATGAATAATTTTATAAATTAACAAAATTTAAAGAGACAAAAAAGAAACATGTGATATTTGTTTCGTTTACCCATCAAGTGATATGAAATTAAGCTTAAGAGGTTGTTTGGGAGATTGATAAAATAAAATAAAATCAAAAATCAAAAAATCATTAAAAAAGTTTTAAAAGTCATATAAAAAAGTTAAAGTTTCATTTCTTTCTTTTTGTACTTCTTTTTTTAAAAATTCAAAAAATTATTCTTAAACACTTTATTTTTTTCACCTCATAATTTAACGAAATTACTAAAAAACCATTTCCTTAACAAGCCCTAAGTATAAATGCATATATTTATTTTTTTCTACTCCGATAAGAGCGTCTCAAACTTTTACTTAGATTTTCCATAAAATTTAAATTTGTTAAAATACGCACACTTTTGTTGCTGTAACCATGGCATCAAACCCATATCAAATGAAAGGAAAATAAAAAATTTCATTAAATTGAGGGAGGCTTCATCGTTTATCAAATTTTTACAGATAGCCGTTACTTTTGTACAGACTTCACCATACACCGGATGACCGATTGATTGTCCTCCCGATCAACTGAGTGTTTGACGAAAATTTACATAAGTCGGACGACCTCTTGCTCAACCAGTTGTTTGATAAAAATTAAAAAATTAGCATTGGAACACATAGTGTCATATGAAACTTTTCATTAATTTTTTATTCAAATTTAATATTAATATTTTTTTTTTTTGAGTAAGCGTTAGAGATACTCTAATAGCTGTCTAATTGTCTAGCACATGATCTGGGTGCCCATTATGAAAATTATTCAAATTATTAGGATAATTATTCAAATTATGGAAATTATTCAAATTATTCATATTGTAAATAATTCAAATTATGAAAAATATTCAATTTATTAGGATAATTATTCAAATTATTCAAATTACGGAAATTATTCAAATTATTCATATTGTAAATTATTCATCTTGTAAATTATTCGAATTATTCAAATATTATTCAAATTATTCATATTGTAAATAAGTCAAATTATGGAAATTATGGAAATAAGCATATAAGGATACATTGCCTTTTGGAAATTAGGAAGGCAGGACGGAAGGAATGAAACTTCCATAGAAGAGAGGGAGAGTATGTTCGAAGAAAATAATGAATGTAAGAAACATACTATTTACTATTGGTGAGAGAGACAGGGTGTAACGCCCTCAAAATAATAACAATAAACCCATCAGATAAGACATGCATTTACATTTAAACTAACCGCATCCCTTTCATTCATTAGAATTCCAAGGCATAAATATTACATGTGAACCTCATAACAACATGCCCTACGGGCTTACAGCTTTCCAAGTTAACACTTGGTGTGTGTGTGTGTGTGTGTGTGTGTGTGTGTGTGTGTGTCGCAGCCATTCACACAGTCTCCCTGTGTGTGTGTGTGTGTGTGTGTGTGTATGTGTGTGTGTGTGTGTGTGTGTCTCAAAATGACAAAGTCACAGAATAAGGTTTTTTCCGCCTTTTGGTACTCCGACATCCTTCGCTGCCTCTTCTGCACTGACAGCAGAAAGGAAGATCAAAAGGAAAAAAGTTAGAGTTATGATTTTTGATCTTCATCATTTTGATCTCCACAGTTGGAGTCCTCATCAACCAATGTCAGCGTCTTTGGCGTTCACAATTGAAGCCATGAAGTTGTTGGAGGAAGAGCAGTTTCTTCAGTTGAATAAGTAAATTCAATAATTTTCTTTATATTTCTCTCTCCCCCCCCTTCTTCTTTTTCTCTCTTTAATTTATGTCTCATTGAATTTCTAAAGGAAAGAAAAGGACCCGTTGAAACCGAAGCAACCCATGTATGTGTTTTACAATGTAAATTCAAGCCAAGGGCTTAATGTGTAAATGAGTTAGTACTCTTTTTGTTGTAACCAAGTGTTAACTTGGAAAGCTGTAAGCCCGTAGGGCATTTTGCTTTTGTTGTTAACATGTAATACTTATGTAATGAAACCCTGATGAATAAAAGAATGTGGTTATTTCATATGCCAATGAATGTCTTATTTGATGGGTTTAATGTTATTATTTTGAGGGCGTTACAACACAGTCATCATTTGCTTTTTAATTATCTCATAATGGTATAAATCTGCACATTTCAGTCATACAATATTTTACTACATGATTAATTTAGAATATCACATAAATAATATTACATAATGTTTTGAAATTACTAAATAATTATCCTATGATCATGGTTTTTCTACCAAACTAGATGTTAGGATTGAAATTTCAAAACTTCTTTAAAAAAGAAAAAGAAAAAGTAGGATTATATAAATGAATGTAAATCATCATGATAGCTTACACGAATCTACATTACTTGTTACCTCTTTCTCTTCTCTATCCTATTGGATATGTAAATCATCATGATAGTTTACACGAATCTACATTACTTGTTACCTCTTTTCTCTTCTCCATCCGATTGGATCTTATGTGATTCTTATGATGATTTTTGTGACATGAATAATTTTATAAATTAACAAAATTTAAAGAGACAAAAAAGAAACATGTGATATTTGTTTCGTTTACCCATCAAGTGATATGAAATTAAGCTTAAGAGGTTCTTTGGGAGGCTGATAAAATAAAATAAAATCAAAAATCAAAAAATCATTAAAAAAGTTTTAAAAAATCATATACAAAAGTTAAAGATTCATTTCTTTCTTTTTGTACTTCTTTTTTTAAAAATTCAAAAAATTATTCTTAAACACTTTTTTTTTCACCTCATAATTTAACAAAATTACTAAAAAACCATTTCCTTAACAAGCCCTAAGCATAAATGCATATATTTATTTTTTTCTACTCCGATAAGAGCGTCTCAACTTTTACTTACATTTTCCATCAGATTTTAATTTGTTAAAATACGCACACTTTTGTTGCTCTAACCATGGCATCAAACCCATATCAAATGAAAGGAAAATAAAAAATTTCATCAAATTGAGGGAGGCTTCATCGTTTATCAAATTTTTACAGATAGCCGTTACTTTTGCAGAGACTTCACCATACATCGGATGACTGATTGATTGTCCTCCCGATCAACTAATTGTTTGATGAAAATTTACATAAGTCGGACGACCTCTTGGTCAACCAGTTGTTTGATAAAAATTAAAAAATTAGCATTGGAACACATAGTGTCATATGAAACTTTTCATTAATTTTTTATTCAAATTTAATATTAAATTTTTTTTTGAGCAAGCGTTAGAGATATTTTAATAGCTGTCCAATTGTCTAGCACATGCTCTGGGTGCCCATTATGAAAATTATTCAAATTATTAGGATAATTATTCAAATTATGGAAATTAGGATAGACTCAGCGAATCATTCCTCCCTCCATATTGTAAATAATTCAAATTATGAAAAATATTAAAATTATTTGGATAATTATTCAAATTATGGAAATTATTCAAATTATTCATATTGTAAATAATTCAAATTATTCATATTGTAAATTATTCAAATTATTCATATTTTAAATAATTCAAATTATGGAAATTATGGAAATAAGCATATAAGGATATATTGCCTTTTGGAAATTAGGAAGGAAGGAAGGAATGAAACTTCCATAGAAGAGAGGGAAAGCGTGTTCGAAGAAAATAAGGAATGTAAGAAACATACTATTTACTACTAACGAGAGAGAGGGAGAGAGTATATTCATGTTCAAATGTGTCTCTCGCACCCAGCCATCACTGTTTGAAAATAAAATCTCCCTTGCCTTCATTGATCCCTTGTCCCCTCTGTCTATCCATATATATTAATCACTTTTAGTTCAGCCGTTCCACACAGTCTCTCTCTCTCTCTCTCTCTCACGACAGTTTTTGCAGCCATTCACACAGTCTATCTATCTATCTCTCTCTCACGACAGTTTTCGCAACCATTCACACAGTCTCTGTGTGTGTGTGTGTGTGTGTGTGTGTGTGTGTCTCAAAATGACATAGTCACAGAATAAGGTTTTTTCCACCTTTTGGTACTCCAACATCCTCCACCGCCTCTTCTGTACCGACAGCAAAAAGGAAGATCAGAAGGAAAAAAGTTAGAGTTATGATTTTTTAGCTTCATCATTTTGATCTTCACAGTTTGAGTCCTCATCAACCAATGTCTGCGTCTTTGGCGTTCACAACTGAAGCCATGAAGTTGTTAGAGGAAGAGCAGTTTCTTCAGTTGAATAAGTAAATTCAGTAATTTTCTCTATATTTATCTCTCCCCCCCTTATTCTTCTTCTCTTTCTAATCTTTGTCTCATTGAATTTCTACAGGAAAGAAAAGGACCCGTTGAAACCGAAGCAACCCATGTCTGCGTTTTTCATGTTCAGAAATGAGCAAAGAGGAGAGAGCAAGAGTGGCTGGGAGGTTTTTTTAAAAAATGGAATAACATGACAGAGAAATAGAAGAAGCCTTATGAAAAGGTACAATTAACTCTGTCTTTCTCTATCAATCTCTCTCTCTCTCTCTCTCTTATTGTCTCTGCAACATCAATTTCACATTTTGGGAACTTGCATATTGCAAAACAAAACATAGAAAATGATTTGGAAGAAATGGAGGCTTACAAGCAGAAGAAGGAGGAAGAGTCTGCCAATCCCGAAACAGAAGAGGATGAGATGATGAAAATTCACAAGCTAGACATGAAGAAAGAGAAAACCGATAACATAATCAAGGTTTGTCCTTATAACAATGAATTGTCGATACCTTCTTGTGAAGCTTGGCTTTTGTGACCGCTAAATTATGTATGCTCTTGTTACAAAAAACGAAAGAGAATCACCAAAAGAAGAAGAAGATTGTTGATCCCAACAAACCGAAGAAGCCCACATCTTCGTTCCTTCTATTCAGGTCAGTCATTTTAAAATATGTTACAAGCACCTATATATATACCTAAAAAGATTAAAAGTAATACCTAAAATTTTGGTCATTTTATTTTTATTCATTATGATGCTGGAATTGCTAGCAGTCACAGATTAGCCATATGGAGGTGAATCAAAGAATCAGCAGACATTAACAGTACAACAAAATGTAATGAAATTTGCTTTATGTTTTCTTATACTATGTTATTTTTGTTGATAATACAGCAAAGAGGCAAGGAAGAACTTGTTGGAAGAGAGGCTGGGAATTAATGACTCTACCCTTAATGCCCTCATTTTAGTGAAATGGAAGGTGTGAAATTTAACTATCTGTTTGGGTAATTCTTTTTTTGAAAATGTAAAAAGAAGTACTGGAAATTTTGGTTTTGTACTTGTAGGAATTGATTGAAGAAGATAAGCAAACCTGGAATGAAAAAGCTGCAATAGCCAAGGAGTCAAGATGGAATTGGAATAGTATAACAAATCTACAGCAATGGAGGAGGAAAACAACAACAACCCACAACAATAAAAAGCAAGCTTGAATATTGTTATGAACTAACAATATGAACTAAAACAAAAAATCTATACTTTGTTATGAACTAACAATATGCCCTCATTTCATTTTTTTTTTTAAGTTTAAAAGGGCGTTAACAGGGCGAAAATACGAAGCAACCCCCCAACCAACGTAGTGCTGTAATGGTCAGCTTCCCCGTGCCAAATATGACATGTAGGAACTGGTGGTACGTAAATAAGACACATAGGTTGGGAGTTAGAATCGAAAATGCCTTAAACTTAGTCGAAAAAAGGCGTTCAGTGGGCGAAAATGTGAAACAGCCCCCCAACCAATCTTGTGATACAACGAGTAGCTTCCCTGTGAAAAATATGACCTGTACAAATAAATGGTACATAAATAGGACACATAGGTTGGGAGTTAGAGTCGAAAATGCCTTAAACTTAGTCGAAAAAGGGTGTTCGGGGGGCGAAAATACAAAACAGTCGCAAACCACTCTAAGGATGTAACGGGCAGCTTCCTTGTGACAAATAGGACCTGTGGGGATAGATGGCATGTAATTAGTACACATAGGTTGGGAGTTAGAGTCGAAAATGCCTTAAACTTAGTCGAAAAAGGGTGTTCGGGGGGCGAAAATACAAAACAGTCGCAAACCACTCTAAGGATGTAACGGGCAGCTTCCTTGTGACAAATAGGACCTGTGGGGATAGATGGCATGTAATTAGTACACATAGGTTGGGAGTTAGAGTCGAAAATGCCTTAAACTTAGTCGAAAAAGGGTGTTCGGGGGGCGAAAATACAAAACAGTCGCAAACCACTCTAAGGATGTAACGGGCAGCTTCCTTGTGACAAATAGGACCTGTGGGGATAGATGGCATGTAATTAGTACACATAGGTTGGGAGTTAGAGTCGAAAATGCCTTAAACTTAGTCGAAAAAGGGTGTTCGGGGGGCGAAAATACAAAACAGTCGCAAACCACTCTAAGGATGTAACGGGCAGCTTCCTTGTGACAAATAGGACCTGTGGGGATAGATGGCATGTAATTAGTACACATAGGTTGGGAGTTAGAGTCGAAAATGCCTTAAACTTAGTCGAAAAAGGGTGTTCGGGGGGCGAAAATACAAAACAGTCGCAAACCACTCTATGGATGTAACGGGCAGCTTCCTTGTGACAAATAGGACCTGTGGGGATAGACGGCATGTAATTAGTACACATAGGTTGGGAGTTAGAGTCGAAAATGCCTTAAACTTAGTCGAAAAAGGGTGTTCGGGGGGCGAAAATACAAAACAGTCGCAAACCACTCTAAGGATGTAACGGGCAGCTTCCTTGTGACAAATAGGACCTGTGGGGATAGACGGCATGTAATTAGTACACATAGGTTGGGAGTTAGAGTCGAAAAAGAGTGTTCAAGGGGCGAAAATACAAAACAACTTCGACCCAGTCTATGGATGTCACATGAATTTGCAAATTAAACAAACAACTACTAGTAATGCAACACATAAAATAGGTAATGAAGAAATGCAAGTCTAATTTTTCAATTGTAAAAAGCCAACATGACCGAGCGTGTGGAAATTCCTTTTCAAAAGCCAACAAAGATGTTGTCTGAATCTAATAATAGTGAATCGTGACTAAACTAAGCTAAGGCTTGATTAGTTAGAAAGAAATAAATAATTAGCTCTCTGGATCAACTTTACATGCATAGAGAATAGTAGAAGCACCACAAATGACTATCAACCAAATAAATGAGGATAAAATACACTTGCACCTAATTATGTAATGCTCAAACCTGTGAAGAAGATGAATAGTTTAATTCATTCACCATAGCCTTTAATGTTTTTGCCTCAAACTATCAAGTTCTGTATGCATTTATGGTACTAATGGGTGCAATTTTTTTTTGTAGATGGCTTTTGGCGTGGACTTGTGGATATTCCATTTTTGTGCACGGAGGACAATTTACACTTTTTTATAATCCCGCTATTTTGTCGTCCTTTACTTTTGTGTGGATTAGTATTAATCATACATATAACTTTTGGCATGGTACATATAACTTTTGACATCGAATGGATAATTATTGGCATAGTATATAGATTACCTTTTGTCGTGTAATTTGTATCACACCAAATTGTCATTTGGCATGGTAGTGAATATGTTGTGTACGGAGGACATGGTTTTCGTATGATTTTATGTTTTATATGGAATTATTATTTTAGGTTGGAATATACATAGTTTATAGCGATCCCGGTTTTCCCTTTCGTGCTTAATTGTAATCCGGATTCGGTTTCGTAAGGGTGCTGCTGTCTTATCCTCTTTCTATCCCTTTCTCTTTGTGTTCGAGCTTTGGGTTGTGTTGGGCAAGTTGGGAATAAGTTGGTTGTGTTTTAAAAGGTAAAATCTTTGCCCAGTTTTTGGTCTCTCCGCTCGAACGGCGCTTTTGACGCTCGAGCGGGACTCTGTTGTTGCTTGTCCGCTCGAGCGGGGATGTTGGCGCTCGAGCGTGGAAATCACCCATCCAGTGTTTCGTCTGCAGTGGTAGACGCTCGAGCGGGGGATTGGCCGCTCGAGCGGGAGTTTGTGTCTGACGCTCGAGCGGGGAGTTTGACGCTCGAGCAGGAACCATGCCTGTAAAAGTTCTGGGAGCGTGCATCTGCCGCTCGAGCGGGGGATTGGAGGCTCAAGCGGGGATCTATGAGTGATGCTCGAGCGGGGCGACTTTTATATAAAGCCGAGATCCGACCTTTTTGTTCACTTTTCAACATCCTTTCTCTTTCTTACTTTTCCAAAAAGCTATTTTGAGAGTTCCTCTCACTAAAACCCTAACTTCTCTCTTAGGATTGATCTAGTAGGAGTTGTTTTCTCACCTTGGGCCTTTACAAAAGTTGTGTTGATCGTCGAGGGCTATCTTTTAATCTGAAAATTTCGGGATTTGGAGCATTTCCGTTTCTTCACCTCCTTCGTTGGGTCCCATACGGCCAAGCTCGGTAGCATTCCGGCATAGCCGAGTTCAAGACAGGTCAGCGAGTGAACAAAAGGCATTTCCTGCCGAGCTACGCGTGTGACCTATGGAATCCAGGTTGGCAGGTGGTCATCTCGGCCAAGTAAGCTCAATCCAAACACGGGACCTCGACCTCGGGCTTGGGCCCCGACCGAGCAAGACCAGCTCCAGGGAAGTCCCAATTAGCTCGGCCTAACCAAGGGGCCTGAGCCTCGACCGAGCAAAACCCACTCTGGTCAGGCCAAACTTAGCTCGGCCCAAACATGTTCGACCCTATCGTGTCCGGTTTTTACCACGGCCCAAAGCCAGATTATAAATCTCCCTCTCACTTATTTATATATATAAAACTAACGTAAATATAAAATAGGGCTATAGAAAATAGAACACTTGATCCTTAATAAACTGAACACTCTTTGATAAGCTTGTTTTATTTGGTACTAGGAACTCTGCTACTTGCTGTCTGTGTGGTACTTGGACTGAGGATCATAACCATTTGTTTTTTAATTGTTCATTCTCCTACAAAGTTTAGAAATTTATGCAAGCTATGTGCAATCTGAATGTGCCTCAATTAAATTGGACAAGTTTAGTAGATTGGTTAACCAGTAATATCAAAGGCAGTTCTTTGGCTGCCACCATCTCTAAACTTGTGTTTACCTGTTCTGTTTACTAGAGATAGATTGAGAGGAATTGCAGGATTTCGAAGTATGGAAGTAGTTTATGTGTTATTGATACAACACCAAAATGTGTATCCACTTGAATGTCGAAAGTGTTCTAGTGATGAACTATAATCTCATCAAATGTTTTGGCCAGAGTACTGAACCTTGTTTTCAAACTCAAAGTTGAATAAGAAATGGAAAGTGAATTGTAACATAGACTTAGCTGTCATGGAATTGTAATAAGATGTAATTGGAAGTGTAAGTATTGACCATCTATCAGTTGCTAATTTTTTTTTAGCATTGTTCATAGTCGGTTTAGTATATTTCTACTGGGCTGTCGCTCACCCTATATGGGAACATCATTTTCAGGTACAGGTAGCATG